ATTGATACTATCCACTGCCAGGCAGTGGATACCTTCTCTTCGTACTTGGACAGCTTTAAATCGACAGCGATGGAAATTCCTCGGGAAGGCACTGATGATGAGCTTGACCGATGGCTCCACTTAGCGGATCCTGTTGAGAAGGACTGCGATCCATTCTTATATTGGTTTAATAAAAGATTTGACTATCCTCGCCTTACGCGTATGGCCATAGACATACTCTCCGTACCGCCCATGGCCGCGGAATGCGAGAGGGTCTTTTCCTCGTGTGACAACATGGTCTCGGCGAAACGCTGTCGATTACAGGCTGAAACAATCGCTATCACACAAACCGTACGATCGTGGCTACGGGCAGGACTATTGGATGATTACGACGGGCTGCTTAAGGATCTGGTGGAAGTGGAGTTGAACGAAACGTAATACAACAAGCGTCCATTTGCGGCGCGACCTGGTCATTGTTGATCTTCAATCATTAAATCATTATCATTTCATTTTAAGTCTGACAATGATCATTATCATTACTGCTTCGCTTATTAATCAGTCATTTCCTTTCATTATCTAGGTGATAATGATTGATAATGATTCATGCGCCAGCCTGGTCGCAAATCATATCTATTTTCGACAAACAAGCCAAAGACAATAAAATCGATCTAGAAGTCGTTTTATCTAGGCCAGAATACCAGGATTATCACGAGACACCACATCTCCATCTCCAACAAAGTTTGGTCCAAACTGGCCGTCCTGACCGTCTACGCGACATGTACGTCTTGGGAGATCAGCACAGGATATTACAAGTCATCATCAATCTTGTTAGCCACAGTTTGAAGTTTACACCAGCGGGCGGCAAGGTTCAGGTTCGAATACAGCGGGGTAATGAGATGACGGTAAAGCAGGGCACGCGGCAAAAGGCTTTGACACAAAAATCTCAATCCAGCAGCGAAAAAAGTGGCACTCGAGCGAGATGCTCGCCATCGTCGGCTTCAGAAACAGGGGAGATTGGAACAAAGACATGCGATCAAGAAGAGCTCGCTAGAGACTCCCACGTCATGTTTACTCAAGACGTGCAAAGACCGCCGACGTTGGCCGATAGTCTCGCAACTGCATATCTCTTCACATTCGAGGTCGAAGATACAGGGCGCGGCATTCCCAGCAACATGCAGGATCAGATCTTTGAGCCATTTGTGCAAGTGGACTCGAGCTTCAGCAAGGAGTTTGGCGGCACCGGATTGGGGTTGAGTATCTGCTCACAGCTGGCCAAGCTAATGGGCGGCACGATTACAGTCAGAAGCAGTGAGGGGCTTGGCTCAACATTTAGTCTACAAATTCCCCTCGAACATATTATAGACCGTGTGCCAAGCACCAGGTCGGAAAGCACGAGGCAAGTGTCAAGAGCACCGAGCGTTGGCGGCTCAACAACTGGTGGCGGCGGCGGCGGCAGCAGCAGCTGCCACCGCAACTCTTTGAGCAGTGTGCTTGCGCAGGACGCCGATCCAGCAATCACAGCAAACAGCAACGTCAGTCACAGAAACGATATTCAGCCTCGTCTTGTTGGCCTCAGCACACCATTCTTCCCACCGAATCCCTACCAGACGCCGCCCGTCCCACCTGCCAACCCAACCACCGTCGTTCCGCCGCCAACCACGAGCGTCGAGACGCAAGCTGCCATCCAAAAAGCCAAAGCCGACAAGGCGAAAACCTCTGGGGGCGAGTCAGCAAACAGCGAGCTATGTGTTCTCGTTGCTGACGATAATGCGACGAATATCGAGGTTGTACGCAGAATGCTCAAACTGGAAAAGGTTCTTGATGTTTGTATTGCAAAGGACGGTCGTGAGGCATACGAGGTGGTCAAGGCCAACATGGAACGAAATCGGAAATTTGATCTCATCTTTATGAATGTGCAAATGCCCAATCTGGACGGCATTCAGTCGACCAATTTGATTCGGCAGATGGGCTATGCGGCCCCAATTGTGGCCTTGACAGCATTTTCCGAGGAGAGTAATCGCAAAGAGTGCATCGAGTCGGGCATGGACGAGTTTCTGGCAAAGCCTATCCGGAGGTCAGCGCTGAAGAGTGTCTTGACGAAATTTGCCACAATATACGAGGAAAAGACATGAGAGGAGAGGGGGTTCGCTGGGGGGGAATAAGACGTGTATATAATATATCGAACACGATCTAATAAGAGTAGTGCTACGTGGACGACCCGAGGTGCCTCTAATTTGCAGGCGCTATCCGCAAAGATTAAGCATCTCTAGGTGGGTCCACAGGCTTGATCAGCAAAGCTCACATCCTATTACCACTATAAAAGTACTTTTACTTTCCTATATTGATACTGAGTAAATACTTATTTTAAAAAAAATAGAGATAAGTTCTTTACTAAATAATATTGATAGGTTCTTGTTTTTATTACATAATTATATAATGCTGTGGTAAGATCTTAGATATAACTTTAGTAGAGATGGGTAGGAAAAAAGGTACTTGATTTATAGTGTAGATGCCCGTAAATTAGGAGTACTTAAGAAATACCATTATCCATCAGCATGGCTTTTCAAGCCTGCAATGCCGACTGTGACTGTAACTAAGTAATTTCCACTTCTTCCCCATCAGGATTTCATCCCATCAGAATATCATCCCACCAAACTCCCATCTTTCAAGTAGCAACTTCTCCATAGGTAGCTAACGCCTTTCCAATAATCCCTAATTATAGCGGGCTATCACTACTGCTTCCCTCACAGGCTATCAATGTACTGCTGAGCCCTGCTGTCATTGTCCTGAAGGTACTTGACATACTCCTCCGCCCACTTACGAAAGTCCTGTTGGCTTTGGTCATTTGCCTTTCGTTGCTCCTCTTTACACCACTCTTGTCCCTCCTGTGTGTCTTGGTCCAGGTTCTGCCAATACCCGCGTTCTTCCTGCTCATACTCCTTCTGCCGTCCCGCATAATCCTTTTCCCGCCGCTCCCATTCTTCGTCGGCCCACTGACTGTATTGCGGTTGCTGCCAGTATTGCTCGAGCCACTCCCACATTTCATTGCGTTCAGCTTGCAGTTGGTTGTACTTTTCCCACATCGACTCCTTCAGCGATTTTTCACGCTGCTTGTAATCTTGCTCCACCTGGTTGAAACAGTTCTTCCCATTCTGCTGATCGGTTTGCTGCAGCTGTTGACGATACTTGTCTTGCTCGCGACGGAAGTCGTCCCAGCGCTTTTTGCTCTCCGACTGCAGCCGCGCAACCTCCTTCTGCCGCCAATCGCCCTGCCCATCTTGCGGTTGTTGATCTTCCGGCTCCTTTTCCTGCGGCTCGTTTCCTTGGGGCTCGTTCTCTTGCGGCTTCTTTTCTTGCGGCTTCTCCTCCTCCTGCGGCTCCGCCTCCTGCGGCTCCTCCTCCTCCTGCGGCTGTTGACCCTGCGACTGTTGACCTTGCGGCTGCACCCAACGTCCCTTCTGCTGCATCTGCCCTTTATAAGGCTTGCGGAATTTTTCGAACACCTCCAACGTTCTTTGCTTCTGGCCATCTGTTAAGCCATCCATCTCGCAGCCGCTATAGTACATCTTGATTAGACTCTCGGTTCGATTTAACAGGGTAACATGAATACTCACAAATGCGTTGAGATCATCAAATTATAGATGGGGTCAGGCCTACTATCAAGATGCTGGCAGGTGTTGACTTGGCCTCTTGAAGGGCAGGACAGCATAGTCTCTCTCACCTTGGCGTCCAAGATATGAGTTGGAGTATCATCAATACCGTCGTTAACCGGATCGCAGGCCGTTCTACCCCAGGCTTCTTCGATGCTCGAGTAATCTGTGTGCTTTAGTCCAAGCCAGTGGCCAACCTCATGGGCGAATAAAGCCAACGATCCCTTATACCCCGGATAAGCTACATTCGGAATGATGGCAGAGGAGACGACCAGGCCGTCTGTTTTCTCGATATCCTCTGCGTTGCTATACTTCCAAAGTTCGGCACCGGGGATAGAAGACGAGCCCATAGTGCCTCCGGAACTACTGCTCCATGAGGTCCAGGTGTCACCATTAGGCCCCCACTGGGTAGTGGTCTCGTTCTTGTACCAGTCTTCAAGGCGAAAAAGGAAGATAATGTTCAATGAGGCATAGTCACCATCACCCCGATGATATTGCCTCTTGATGTCGTCGGATTTTCCAGTAAACATCCCCGAGTTAGGATGAAAAAGGTCGGGACGCGTATAGCGATGGATCTTGTCGACCGAGACATCGAGGTAGAAACCATAGGAATAGAATCTGTTGAAATCATCTAGTACTTGTCGGATTTGGCTGTCCTGTTTTAGACGTCGTGTTAGGAGTTTTTTATTACACCTGCCATATTGACAGTCAAGGCACGCAAACCACCTACTTTAATATTGCCGCCATTGACGGTGTTGTCCTTGGCTAAAACAGTAATATGTACTGGTATCCTGTGTTTTTGGGCCTCTTGACGCTTTGTAGTGTTGTTTCCCTGCGCGAGGACTTCCTCTGAGTGTTTCCTTTCCTCCAGGCTCAGGCCAGGAGTACCACAACCTACTTCATCGGTTGTGAAGTTGGCCATGTTGAGTGCCTGGGCACAACCAGCCAAGGCGGCAAGGCCAGTAGCGACGAGGCGGAAGTTGAGAAGCATTGCACGGAAGACCAGAACCAATAGACGGTATAGAGACTTGAAGTTAAAAGGAGTGTAAGCGTGTGAAAACGAGTGAATAATAGGCTATGTAAGCGACAAATGAGTGACTGTATGAAGGAATGAATAAAGCCATACTCGACAGACGGGACTAGGCATCAGCTAGATATATGATTAAATAGGGAAACAATCGGTAGTAAAACATAAACAGTGAAATCATCGGTGCGAATATGAAAGGGGTATGCCAATATGCTAGCACGGCTTGGTATACTCTTTGATTACATTGGTTTTGCCGCGCCGATTTGACAATATCCGCTCAGTAGCTAAGTAGCAAGCTATATATCTAGCATTATAGCGAGCAGAAAAATACTTTTGAGTGAGCTAATACGCATGCGTGTGTTACATGTAAATTGATATAACTGGAGATGAAGAGCATTTCAAAATTTAGCTTCCACTTCTGTGATTTATTACCTTTATGCGCTCCAACTTCGGAGCTGTAGCCGCAAAGCAAAGGCGGGCTACCAACTCTACTTTGTAGATTAACCGGTTGATTATAAACGGGGCTTCATGATTCAGGCAACGGATGGCTTCCCCAAACTGGCTATGCTAACAGCCTACGCCCATGTTTTTAGTGGACGAAGGCGGAGCCAAAAGAAAAAAAAGTAGACGCGCAGCATGAGTACACACGTACGGATGGAACCGGTATCGCCAACTATTATGCTAGACCAATAACATCTTGAAACGATGGACATTACTCAAGTGGGAGAACCGGCAGCAACATACCGAGGCGTCTACACAATCATGGCACATTTATTAGCGTAATACAGCATTAATCAGCAAAGCTCGAACCCAATAGGCACGTGGACCATCTACAAAGTAATAATCCCTACCTTAGAACGCTAAGAGCAGCTCTACCGTAGGGCGAGAATTGATAAGGCGAGTAAGTGTCGTAATCAGGCCCCAAGCCAACACAGAGGGCGCGCTCTTGCCAGCGTCCGACTGCTACCAGCCACACCACCAGCCTCAACCTAAAGGACTATTCCCGAGGAGCCTAGGACAAATAATGGCCCCCCAAACACAGACAACAGAGGTTATGGAATTCATCGATAAGTTTTGTATATGCTGTTTATATCTGGCTGGCTGCGATGGCTTCCATTTAGCATGATGCTTTGTGGTGCGCAGCTGGACAAGGCAGCAGGTGGATTGCCAAATCAAAAAGAGGGGAAGGGGGGGGGTTTCCCTGTCATGCCCCATACCAAGTAATTCAGACCCCAGTTCAATCAATGCTTGTCCGCAAGCTTGTTGGTATTATCAAAGCTAATTATCTCTGTTTATTTCTTCGTAGTAGCCGTAGCAGTAGGCATCATCGGTAGTACTGGCTTCTTCGTCGTCGCCAGTACCCGCGGCTGTCAAGGATGGCCATTGACCTATTCTCCGTTCCAGCTATGTCCTCCGAGCCAGAGCGCATTTTTAGTCTAGCAGGGCAGATGGTTACTACGCAGAGAGGACGGCTTAAAGCGGACATTATAGGGGCTGCGCAGTGTATATCGTCCTGGGAGAAAAGTGAGGTCATCTAAATATCTAAACAAGCCAAATGAGTCAAATAAATCAAATCGACAAGCAGGCAAATCAAATTAAATCAGATTGGAATTTTCTGATTCCAAATTAAATCAAATCCGGAGCCAGATTTGAGTTGATTTATTTATTTGCAAGTCTGGGCACAGCCGCCGCTCAAGCGGCTTACCCGTTATATTTGATAGTGGCTTTATGACTACGTCATTTCCTACTTATCGTTATGACTCAAAAACGGCTTTTATTCACTCTTAGGCGTTTAGGCCGGCCAGGGCCACTGACGAGTTTGCCGCTCCGGACTTGACAGCGGAAATCCGGGTTTGAACCGGGCTAGCACAAACTCTCTCCGCGGCGATCGGAGTTGAGCGACGGATAAATACTTTTTCCGACCTATTTTCTTTACCTTATCAAAGACTGTCTCCGTGTGAAGACGTCGAGCGGAACTGCTGCGCCAAATTCGATCGGAGTTCCGGCAAAAAGTTTAATTTAAAAACGAGTGGACCACTGGGCATGGCAGTAATACACGTCTTTGTACTGGACACCGTATATCCAGATGTGTGATGAACTAAGACGATACCTCTTGTTTGCCATGGCAGCTCGTCTTACGTACGTAATACGGCCCTGAATGATCTCGTCCGGAGGTTCATGGTATTGAACTGGAGTAGAAGTGGCGGGGGTAAGTGATGGTGCTGAGGCAGGTGATGTACGCGCGGGTGAGGGGCTAGGTGCAGGAGATGGAGTAAGAGGCGTAGGCGTCGACATTGTACATGATTGGGGCAGCAAGTTTCGAGTTACAGACCTAATAACAACAAGAAGAAGTATTCTGGCGTTGTCCGCTACGCTTGCCCCCCGCTGGCCCCTTTTCACTGAAGATGAAAACCGGGAGCAAAAAAGCAAAATCTACGGGTTCTAGCCGTGTTGTACAAAATCAAGCCACCCGGCGACACCAATCTCTCTAACTTAATCTATTTATAGCAGACCATGAAGGACCACGAAGACCGGTTAGTCCATGGTCTGGAGAAACGGTCAGACCAAACCAAATTTTAGCGGTCTAGACCAGACCAAGACCATGACAGACCAGGAAACTTGACTCCTCGAGGCAAGGAGAGAACCGCTGGCCTGCCTCTCCCCTTCGGCCATCTCGGAAAATTCTCTTTACTAGGCAACAAACTCTTCATAAAAAGGCTGTAGTCGTACCAGTCGTTTGATCATGTAATACTGGGATAGCCATCTGGTATCGTTGTCAATGACCACGTCGAATGGCCGTTGCTTTCCAATCTCGTCGTTGTCAGCTGCCGCAAACGAGTCTTGTTGGATTTGGCGAAGCAATGTCAGCACGTCCGACCGATGGACCCAAACGGCGAAGTTGTGAGCTTTGCCGACGGGGCCTCTCCGCACCCACGTGTCGTGCGCTGCCCTTGCCAATGCTTCGCCCTTGGCAACGGTGTCCTCAAACGCCTCGACATCTTTCTCGAACAGAAGGGACTTGACGACGAGATTGAGAATGTGGCCGACGCATCGAACGCGCCATCTCACCGCATCGAAGTGCAGCTCTTGCGCAATCTCGCGCATCGCCGTATCGTTGTTCGCCGCATTGTCGAGGGTGAAGTAACGGCCCTTATCCTCAGTACCGAACGAGCGAATGATGTCAATGATATCAGCTGCGATGTTCTCGCCGGAGTGTCGTTCCACCAGCTCCGGAATGCCTAGAACAAGCTTTCGGAGCTGGTTGTCCTCATCTCTAAAGACTCTTGCACCAGCGAAAGCAATATGTATCTGGCCGGGAGACCTCCTCAAAGCACAAGGCTCGAAACCACTACACCCATCCACATTTGGACCAAGTCGCGTGGATGTGCTACATGTCAGACCTCAAATTGATGGATGTCCATAATTTCCGAGTTGAGTGGAGTGGATGTACACATGTATGTACAAGTGCACTTTGGAGACTCTTCACCGCGTCACGCCTATTCCGGCTCACTTTCACATTTTGTCTCTAACTCATCTTCCGGCTGCTGCAGCACTGTATCACCTCCCTCGCTGGCGCTGTCCTCGCCATCCCGTAACCACTTGGACTCGGCAAGTGTCAGTTCATTGTCGCTCAGAGTCGCGTAAACCCCATCTAGCTGAGCCTCAACATGCGAGTGAAGCAATGGATCCAGGTCCTTGATGAGGCCGGCACGATACCAAGAACGTAAAACCTGACAGATTCCGATAATCTCAGCATCCAGGTCTGTACGCAATGCCGAGACCATTTTGCCAGCTGCTGAAAATAGCCTCTCACATTCCGCTGACATTGGCTGAATCGTCAGGAAGTCCAACGCCATTCTGGACAATCGGGGATATCTGCCTTTCTTCGTGATCCAGTAACGGATTGGATCACGGACATTGCTGTCACCTACCTCACGATCCGTCTGCCACGCCTGGTACTCGTCGCCCATTATAGTTGTTGCGTAGGCTGGTGTTGAGCTTGGCAGACGACTGTTCTTCTCAAATGGGTTGAAAAACCGAGACCGTTTAGCTGGTGGCTCATCGTCACTTCTGCTGCTGGTAGTTCCAACCTCAAGGTGGGCGTAGTCCGATAACCAGACATCGGCAACCATCTGTTTTGCCTTTGTTACCCAACTAGGCTTATGTGACCACGTCTCAGCAAACCAGTCCCAGCGATAGGCTGGATGGAGCCAGTGATCGGAATGGTCTGGTCTGTGTTGGTCTTGGTCTGGTCTAGACCGCCAAGACTTGGTCTGGTCTGACAATTTCTCGAGACCATGGTCGGACCGGTCGGACCGGTTAGACCATTGACTTCTATAAATAGCTTCAAGCTTAGAGGAGTAGCGGTGGTGGCTTACATCTCATACCTTTTCAGCTGCTGCATACCTGCCATTTTTGCTTTTTTCATAAA